CTCTCTCTCCCCCCCCCCAACGGGCAGCAGCGGCGGGCGCCACGTCGAAACGGCCCCTTTGAAATTGCTCGGGCCTGTGCGAAACCCGCCACCTCAAAAACCTGCAGTGTCTTGTGTCTGGACCTCTAGGCCATGTCCTGTGGGGTGAAAGGACACTTAAAAATCACCCCATTATTTTCTAGAGGCGGCTAGGACCCGACAAACGTCCTGGGCCGCCCCTTTTTTTTTTTTTKATTTTTGCCCCAGGGGCCTCCATCCGGACATGGGGACCAGACACCGGACACTGGACACCGGACACCGGACACCGGACGTCTGGGCGGTTACCATGGTACAAACTCTGTTAAACATCATTAGTCATCCTCGTGGTCGCAGTCGAATACTCTTCTCTCCGTCCTCTCTTCGAGTTCAAACTCTCAAGTAAAACGAGAGATCATGACTCTGCCCATATGGCACTTTGTGCAGGTAGCGGACTGGGTTTTGATGAATCTGATCGTGAAGTGGGGCCAGGGGGGGAAGGTTACCTACCGCCCTCACAGTTTTCAAACGGGCCGCCCGGGAAACTTGGTTGCCCACGCTGCCTGGCTGGGCAAAGGCTAGGGAGGGTCCCTGGGGAAAAAAACAAATAAATAAAAAAATCTAAGCTACCAGCCGGGCCGCCCGGGACACCTTGTTTGCCCGGGCTGCCCAGGGCCATGCAAGGACCATAGAAGGTCCCAGTAGGGCGTACCGAGGCACAAGGCCTCGATACGCCCTACTGGGCCCTATTTTCAGCACAGCCGGCCACCCTAAGTGAAGGCAGGCTCGACTTAGGCCTACAGGCCATTTTTGGGGTCACCACGCAACTGGGGAAATTCAGGCAGTTGCGCAGCGCCCAGGCCCAGGCGCCCTCTTTCCAATGTAACTGAGGCAGGCCCCGGGCCAGATTCGCAACATGGACCGAACACAGGCCGCTGGCAGTTGGATACGGGCAACCACCACAGGCCCAGGGCCTTATTTGTTTGGAATGAGGCTCAGCCTCTCTGGGGCCTACTGGAAGCTTCTGGGCAGGGGCCCAGCACAGCCAAGCTGCACGCAAGCAGGCAGGCCACTTCCATTTAGGAAAGTGCCTGCCCACGCATTCGGCATTCGGGCACTGGCTGCATGCTGCGCAAGCGCTGCTGCTCTAACGCTGGCCAGTGCTCACGCGCTCACGGGCGAGCTGGAAGGAGCAGGCAGCCATAGCCGAGCTGCGCTGCTGTATGCTTGATGGGGCGCATGTTGGTCCTTGGGTGCATGTGGCATCTGTGAGTTGGGGAACGAGGTTGTGAATGATTCGAGAGACACGCCTGGTGCTTAAAGCGTACGGCATTGGCTGAGATCTGCTCGCACTTCCGGGAGCTGTTGACGTCATCAGCGGCATTGTAGATAGGCTAGATAGGATCTGCCATCCGTAGTCTGGGCGCCGAGCGCCAGATAGGATATCGACATTGGTTCTTCGTTGATGATGATGAGACTATTCCAGCATTGTCAATTATGAGCTTCTGCTGTGCTCTTATTTGGTGAAACTCGTGATGCAATTCGGCTATTGGTTCGAGGTCACGACTATCTGGTCTCATGTGTATGATGCTGTTTGATTTCTGAAGTTCGCTATCGATCATTTTATCTTGCAATTTGGTATCGGAGCTGTGGTACGGTGCGCTCATCTGGCGCTTGTCTTCTGCCTTTGCGGCACATGCACGCGGTCTGCTGGGCGAGCGGCCATGGGAGGTGTGTAGTCAGGAGGGTGGAGACGAGTGAGGCGACTCAAGAGGTGAGAGGTATCGCCAGGAAGGCTACTAGGTGGTGAATATTGGGTGTTCGCAATGTGATGAGAACTATTCGATGTGTGATTGATGCTGAGGTGGAACGGCGGTGCAATGCTGGTTGTGCGGAAGCAGCGATTGGTCATCACAATCAACATCGGGTCATCTGGTGAGAATATCTGTGGTTGGGGGCAGCTATTTTGAGGTACGTTGCACCTAACCTTATCTACCCTCTTCGACACTTCTTACTGTGAGGATGTGTGTTCTGTGTTGAGAGTCCTCTCATTTGAGGAGTCGTGTGCGCTCAACCTTGAGAGTCGCCAGTCTTCACGTGGAGCATCTGGAAGGAGAGGGGGGTGCTATCTGGAGGGCCCTGGACGAAGCACAGTGTCACGATCACCATGCCAACCCACCGGAGTAGAGCATGCATCCTTTGCTGCTTTGTCCTTTGTCTGCTTGCTGCGCTATAGAGGGGTTCTGAGGGGCAGGCCAGCTCTACAGGAAAGACGAGACCGGACATCTATAAATAAGTACCGGCGGGGACCTTCCATTGGTTGTGATCGTCGTCCTGTTTGCGGCGTTAAATAATTCCTGAGGACTTCGGGGGCCGTCCATAAAAACGCCTCCTGATCAGCCAATCGGTCGGTGTAAGGCTCGCTGCACGCGAGGATAAAGACTGTGCAGGGCTGGCCAGCTCAGCAGGACTCGGGGCACAGGGGTGGGCCGTGTGCACACCTTTAGACACGCACGCTATTCTGGATTGCTCAAGGACGTTGACGACAAGAGACATTCAGGAAGAACTGAGGGAGGGGCTGATTCCAGGTGATAAGTTTGGGCAAGATTCCATTCTGCAAACAGACACAACAAACGATTCTATTTTCATTTTGATTAGTTAGGTGTACAGCCATTAACATCTGACAGACAGCATAGTTTAGAACTGTTCTTTGTTCATTGTGCTTTCTATTTGCGAACTAGTCAAAGTAGTTTTGTTTGTAGGAATCTGAACTTACCTGTTGGACCCAAATGTTTAGTCTCTGACACAGCCACCGATTATTTAGTATTTATTCATTTAAAACCGGTCTGTACATCATGCTGCGGTAGGCATCAAGAGTGTCCTAGTGCAGGCAGTGTACAGTGTTGTAGCCTATTTGTGACAGGAAGGTCCCACAACCAGACGATAGGATCTTGCAATCGGCAAGACGCCCGATAGCCCACTTGGCCTTAGGACCAGAGGGCGACAGGTTACTGTTCAGCCAGCTTAGGGAGAGGCAGGAGCAGCAGCGAAGAGCTAGGGCAGCAAAGGCCAGCAGGGCATTCGCAAGTGCAGCCGCTGCTTCAGCAGCCATGGCAACTGCTGCGCAACAGAGTTCCCAGGCTAGCAGTTCAGGATCTGTAGGGTCAACGGTCGCGCAGACCCAGAGTCAGTCCATTGGCATGATGGCAAGCCAGCCTATAGTTTTGACCCCCGAGGAGGTTGCCATACAGCGAGCAGCTATTCGCGAGGCACAGCTACAGCAGGCGTTAGGGGAGATTAAGGCAGAGAAAGAGAAAATGATTAGAAGAAGAGCCAGGATGCAGCGGAGAGAAGCGGACATTAGTGAGTTAGAGAGAATGGACCTGACGCATATGGATGCAAATGTGAGGACGTTGCGGACAGCCCTGCTAGGTGTTGTAGAAATGCAGGACCACCACACGGCCCTCCTTCATGACATTCAGCAGAGTCTGGCCATTCTGGTCGGGCGTGCGCAGGCAGCTCCATCACCGTCCGGGCCCGGTGCCTGGCCCGTTGTACAGCCTCCTCCTTTTGTCCCACCGGTGACTGGGCTATCCTCATATGTCACTCCAGCATCGGTCCAAGTCGTTTCCCTAGGCATGCCCTTGACAGGAGGGTTCTCAGCAGGTCCTAGCGTGCAGATTCCTGTGCAGACAGTGTTTTCCCAACCTCCGTCTTAGGTTGCCGTAAGCGGGCAGCCTGTTGTCTCGCAGCCTGCACAGCCACAGGGTGCACAGCCCCGGCCGCAGCTGGTGCAGCAGCCTGGTCCCCAAGGTCCACAGCTTGGGGTGGGACAAGTGTTGGGACAAAATCAGTGGGTTTCAAAGACGGCCATCGCTGCTCCTAAACCCTTCACAGGGGAATCGACACATGGTTGAGGTTAGTGCCAGTCTACATAAAGTGTAAACTTACCTTGCCACCCGAGGAGGTGCTTGTGGCTGCCTCCTATCTAGAGGGGAGTGCAGCAAGATGGTTGAGTGGTTTAGTGCAGTTACAGGGATACGATCACGACTTTTGCGCTTGGGCAGTCAACCAGAAACCGGATGACTTCCTCAAGCTGGTGGAAGACAAGTGGTATGATCCTAAGGAGGCTCAAAAGGCCACTGATGTGATCCTGACATTAAACAACAGACACTTTAAGTCAGTAAGAGAGGCCACAAACGCAATAGAGCGTCTGATCTGTGTTCCTGGGGTGCGCTATGACCCCAGGTTTTACTCACCTCCTACCCCAGATG